AGAAGCTTCGATTTCTCTCTCTCTCTCTCTCTCTCTCTCTCTCTCGAATATTGCACATTTCCCTTTTCGCTCATTCATCCTCTTTCACACTTCTTTTTCACACAGCTTCCAGTCATTTCGCTTTCGTTTGAAGAGGACGAATCAGCATTTTCGAACGCAGGTACGAGGTACACAGAACTGTGATCACTTACGAGTAAATTACGTGTAATTACGAAAGGAAAATTCAAGTAGAAGAACTTGAGGAGCAGTTATTGGCATATATGTTTCGTAGCTTCGTGGACGTAAGGAGAGGGGATAGGGGTGGTATAAAGAAAACAATTTGGAAGGATTGAATCAATTTGAAAATTTCAATTCTTTCGTGAAATTATTTTTTAAATAAAAAAAAAAAAAGAATAGAGACATTCGCACACTTATTTTCACACGAATATTTCTTCTATCTCGAAATCGAAATCGTTTCTCCATTTGTCGAACAATTTCGAAAAAGATAGCATCAATATGCATACATATGTTCATTCTTTCTTCATCAGTGTCCCGTATAAAACTTTTCTCCAAGATACACATTACGAATACTGAACTCTCGTATAACACAATTCCAATTTTTTCTAAATTTTCTCGACTTATATATATATATTTTCAGAAAGGAATAAAATAATTTGAGAAGCAAGACCGATTAGTTAAAATTTCGTAAAAGCCCGAATCGAGAAAAAAGAAATTTTGTTTCTTAACTTATCTCATCTCTTCCTAAAACTAGCCACTCCCCCAATGTGTTATACGAAAGACAGTGAAAACCAGAAGAGCCAGCAGAATAAATAATCAAACAAAAATATTTGATCGCGTCGCATGAAATGTCGGATCCGTTTTGAACGATCTCACATCATTTTCAGAAAACCTACGTTCTCTCTATATAGAAAAATTGTAATAAAAAAAAAAAAATCACTTGTTTTCAAGAATCCGATCTATTTCACGCGAACGATCAACGACAGGATAGGAAACACGTAAGAACGTAAAGAAACAGACCTGCACCGCCGCACTTATTGTTGGTCACAGCATCCGAACACGGAACCAGGGATTTTAGAACGCGGTGCTGGATTGCGGCTGTCGTGGCACGTTCGGCCCGTGGGGCACGAGGTGCGCCCCAGCCCCGCCTCCGCCCCCCCCGCCGACAACAGCTTCCGGTTCCCCGGCCGCCTTATTGCATCCCGGCTCCATGTCGTAGTCCGGCTCGAGCGCAGGATTCACTCGGCCGTTCGATTCGTCCTTGCTTCCGTACAGCCTGCCTAT